GGCCGTGTGCAAGGCAAATGCCCTACCTGTTGTATTATAGCTCCAGCCTCAACCCAGCTGAATTTCTAGATACCTACCATGAAAAACTAAAAGCCCAATATTTAAAAATAATTATTTCTATAATGGGGCTGGAGCGATAGCACACCGGGTAAGGCATTTGCCTTGCACAAGGCCAAGCTGGGTTTGATTCCTCCATCCCTCTTGGAGAGCCTGGCAAGCTACAGAGTATCTCGTCTGCACGGCAAAGCCTGGCTAGCTACCCACGATGTATTCGATATGCCAAAAACAGTAACAAGTCTCACAATTTGTTGTGAGATGTTACTGGTGCCCGCTTGAGCAAATCGATGAATAATGGGAGGACAGTGCTACAGTGCTATTTCTATAATGCCCTCCCTAAAATGGAATCACTGTCACTGTCACTGTCACTGTAACTCTCCTCCTGTTGTTCATCCATTTGCTTGAGCAGGCCCACTAATGCCTCCATTGTGACAATTGTTACTGTGTTTGGCATGTCGAATATGTCACGGGTAGCTTGCAGTTTAAATATAAGATACAATCTCTATGTTGAAAATGACAAACACTGCTGAAAGATGGCAGAGACCTCAATCCATGGGGAGAGACTATCTCTGTATGATGAGGAATGGGGTATGTTTCCCCAAACTGTCCATATATCTAACACAATTTCAACTGAATTTTTGGTTTTGGGGTATAGGGCGTACCTGGTAGTGCTCCTGGGCCTATGGCCACTACCACAGAGCCCTGCTGTCCATAGCCAGCACTTAGGGGCCACCAGTCATACCTGGTATCTGGCCTGGAAATGCTCGGTGACATCTGGCAGTGTCAGGAGTCACCCATGTCACACTGAGCAGTGTCCAGGGACTGAATTTGGTCGTGCTCATGCTAGATAGGTGCTCTGCCACTTGAGCCCTCTCCCTGGTCCCCAGGTGAGATTTTTTGATGAGCAATCCTCTTAGACAAGATAACTGTGAATTTTATATAGTGTAGCACTTAAACTAGAATAATAAAAACAATGTATTTCAAAAGGTGAATTCATACTCTTCAATGTTAAGATTCACTACAGAGCTATGGTAATCTAGATAATAGTGAAAAGGAAGATGAATATACCAAAGCCCCCAAATTGAGTTACACAAAGGTACAGAGACAATCCAAGAAAATAAGAACAGTTTTCAAGAAAGGAGTTGAAGTCTTGTAGATAAAAAGAACTTTAAATTTATACCTTTTGCAAAAATCAGTGAACTTTAAAAGTTTAAATTTTTTGTAATCTGCAGTAAGGTAAAGAGTTCTGAAATGATACCAAAACTACCCATTAAAAAAAAAAACAGCACTTCAGCAAAATTAAAAAGATTTTGCTCTCCAAAATGCACGTTTTTGGGTCAGACCTGGTGGTGTTCAGGCGTTACTCCTGGCTCTGCACTCAGGAATTACTCCTGGTGGTGCTCAGGGGACCATATGGGATGGCAGAGATTGAACTCAGGTCAGTTGTGTGCAAGACAAGCACCCTCCCTGCTGTACTCTATGTCCCAAAATGTACTTTTAAGAAAAGAGAAAGAGAAGCTAGACTGGAAAAATATTTATAAATCCATGTCTGACAAAGGACATTTACTTACAGTACCTAAAGAATTTGCAACACTTAATAGTGAGAAAACCATCCAACTGAACATGGGCAGAGAACTGATGATACTACATCATAGAGGTTATATGGAATGGGAGTTAAGTCCACAAAAAGATGTACATTATTAGCCATTATGGAAATGCAAATTAAAACCACAATGACTACATGGAAAGTATCATGTTAAGCGAAATGACTCAGAAAGAAATAGACATAGAAAGATTGCATTCATCTGGGGAACATAAAGTAACAAAACAGGAAACTAACACCCAAGAATGGCTGAGATTAGTACCAGGAATTTTACTCCATGGCTTGGAGGCCAACCACACATACTAGAGGAAAAGGGAGCTCAGATAAAGAAGGGAACACCAAATAAAGGTGTTGGGAGGATCCTCCCAGGATGGGAGAAGCATGCGGAAGGTAGACTATAGACTAAACATGATTGTCACCCATTGCCTCTTTTGCAAACCACAACACCCAATAAGAGAGAGAGAACAAAAGGGAATGCCCTGCCACAGAGGCAGGGTGGGATGGGGGGGATGGCGGGTGGGAGGGATACTGGGATCCGTGGTGGTGGGAAATGGGCACCGGTGAAGGGATGGATATTTGATCATTGTATAATTGAAAGCCAAGCACAAAAATGTGTAAGTCTGCACTGTACCTCATGATGTCTCACTATTAAAAAAATTTTTCTTAAAAAAAAAGACAAACCACAATGACTAATCACCATGCTCCAATCAGAATGGTCACAATAAACAACTTTGGGGTGGACAAATACTGGGGAGGACTCAGAGAACTGGAAATCTAGTGGTAGAATGCAAAATAGTTCAGGCACTGGTAATTTATTTTCTTTTTAATTAACAAGTTAAGTATATTATATGACTAAGTAATCCATGTCTATTATAAATCCTACATAAATGGAAACTTATGTTTACACAACAACCTACACACAAATATTTATAGAAGATTTATTTAAATCACTCCAAGGTGATAACAACCCAAAAGACCCCTCAATGGGTGAATATAAAGTAAACTGTGTATCCATACAATGGCATACTTCTTGGTTACGAAAAATATATGAAAGAAGGCAGCCTTCAGAGGTTCTATTCCATGAGATTCTATGTGACATACTGGAAAGGCAAATCTACAGGGATGGAACACAGGCCAGTGTTTGCCAGAAAGGTGGAACTAAGGTTTAACTAAGGGTGGCATAAGGGAACTTGGGGGTTGAAAAAAGTTGTGTTCTGACTATGAAGGTGGTTAATATACCAAACAACATTTTAAAAGTTTTAATGGAAACAAGACATATCTTATAAAATTCTCTTGGAGATGTCTTCAAAGAAAATTTTTTTATTTGGGAACCACACCTGGCAGTGCTGAGAGATCACTCCTGGCAGACTTGGGGGACCTTATGGGGTACTGGGACTCAAACCTGGGCCAGCCACATGCAAGGCCACACCCTAGCTGCCACACCCTACCTGCTGTATTATCACTGCATCCCTCAAAGAAAAATTTCATCTGAATCTCTCACAAAGGCTGCCCTGGAGGCATGGGGAGAGGTTCTGCCAGCCCAGTCCCCTGTCTCTGTTCACACTTGTAAAATAAGATGCATATAGCAGTGATGTGCTTTCTCCCCCACCCCACTTGAACTGCACCCTGTGGTAGAAGTGGGGGTGACACTGGGTCCTGGGTCCCAGCACAGCCACACCCTGTGTGGTTCATACACTGTTTTGCTGGATTAGAATAGTGAGTCTCACCAAATCCTGAGGCACCTGGAGTGGGGTTGAACATTTCTGGGTTTAAAGGCCTATTGGTGGGAATCCACTCACCGGTCCCTTAGTCAAATGTCCCCAAGGGTCCTGTTAGGTTAGCTGAACTGGTGTGCTCGCTAATTCTCATGGCCAGCATTAGAAAATGAGCTTTTTGGGGGCGGGGAGATTGTATAGTGGGTAGGGTGCTTGCTTTGCACATGGCTAACCTGGGATCGAATGCCCGCATTCCATATGGTCCCCAAAGCACCACCAGGAGTAATTCCTGATGAGCCAGGAACAGCAGAGCCAGGAGTAACTACTCTGAGCATCTCTGGGTGTGATGCTCCCCCTTCCCCCCTTTCCTCATTCCTCTTTCCTCAACCAAAAAAAAAAAAAGAAAAAAGAAAAAGAAAGAAAAAGAAGCACCTTTTCCAGAAGCTGGAATGGATCTCAGTTATGCCCCCTTCCCCTCAGGATGCCCTCTGGGACACCCCTTGGACACTACAGAGAGCTGTATGCAAATGAGGGGACAGGGTCCTGGGGCCAACTGTGCCAGCAGAACCAGCAGAATTTATGATAAAAGCTGTCCATTCCACTGAGCACGGGCCATGTGCCATGTGCCCCGCAAAGGAATCATTGGGAAAGGGTTGTCAGTGCTTGAAGAGGAAACAGAGGCCCAAGAGACTCCAGACCTGGGGCTCCATGTAGGGAGGAGGTGACAAGGCTGGCTTCTGGCTGAATCTCCAGTCCTCTGAGCCAAGACCTGAGCGAGGAACCCAAGGCCTGAGGACAGGACTGCTCTCAGGAGGAAACATGGGACTCCCTCTTCAAAGGCTGGACGGGGAATGGGTCTCATGGTCTCAGTGGCCCTTTGAGCCTACATATATATATATATATAAAATGACTTAAACTTTTTATACATACATATATTTGTGTGTGTGTGTATATATATATGTATATATATATATACATATATTTGGGCTGGAGCAATAGCACAGCGGATAGGTCATTTGCCTTGCACGCAGCGGACCCAGGGTTTGATTCCTCTGCCTCTCTCAGAGATCCCGGCAAGCTACCAAGAATATCTCGCCTGCACGGCAAAGCTTGGCAAGCTACCTGTGATGTATTCAATATGCCAAAAACAATAACAACAAGTCTCACAATGGAGACATTACTGGTGCCTGCTTGAGTAAATCGATGGACAATGGGAGGACAGTAGTGCTATATATATGTTTATTGCCACACTGGATGATGCTCAGGAATCACTCCTGGAGGTGCTCAGGGACCATACAGGGTGCCAGGGATTGAACCTTGATCAGCTCTGTGCAAGGCAAATGCCCTACCTGTTGTACTGCAGCTCTAGCCTGTGCCATATGCTAAAATAAAAAACATGACAAACTTTTTACCGAGCGGAATGCTTTGTTTGAAAACTATTTCATGTGTAAATCCAGTCTAGAAAACCAAACATGAGCCTCTTGTGGCAGGGGTAGGAGGAGGGGCACTCCAGGGTACCCGGGACGTTGCTTGAAGGTCACTTAGCCGGCAGGCTGCACTTCCTGCCAGTAGCACCAGAGTTGTATGGATGTGTAAGGCTCTGGTTTTGAGTGAGTTCCAGAGAAGGAGCTGAGCTCACTCCTGGGGGAGGGCAGCAGGGTGCCAGGGTGGGCCGACCCACTGGACTTGAGCAGCAACAAGCAGCCTCACCCTTCACTCGGGCCTATAACCATGACCTCTGGCAGGAAGCTTATCTCCACAACCTTCCATGGAGCAAGTGTCTCTCTTGCTTAAAGACACAGATCACACTAGGTTAAAAACCTACAGCATTCCTCCCTTGCCTTTAGAAAGGGCACCATCTCTCGGTTGCGTTTTGTTCTCCTGTATCCACCCAAGTGAAATATTCTGCTGAAGATCTTAGTGGGAGGCAAAATGGCAGTTCTGTACCTCGGACCCTGGTGGCAGGGCTCACAGTGGAATCATCAAACGGACCTCCTTCTCATAGATGTCGGGGATCATTCCCATAGGGGAGTCGACCATGCGAACAGAGTTCTTGCCAAACAGTTGAAACTCATAGTGGATGAGCTGTTCCCAAAAGCCACTGTTGGGCCGGATGATGGGCCGGCAGGCCTTGGTCCACGAGTGGGCTTCCAGCAGGGACATGGTGTGGTATTTCATGAGGTAGGCAAGGCAGAGGGTGGCCGAGCGGCTCACGCCAGCCGCACAGTGCAGCAAGGTGCGGCCCTGTTTCATCTCCACCCCATGGATGTGGTCGGCAATGGGGTCGAAGAAGTCACAGAGACGAGAGACGGGGGTGTCAGCCACGGGCACCTGCAGGTACTGGATATCCTCGTAGCGGGTGTTTACCACCTCCGAGGACACGTTGATGATGGAGGTGATCTGATTGCCCGAGAGCATGAGCTTGTTGTTGGCAGCTGCGCCGTTGCTGATATACAAGCTGCTGGTTACCCGGGAGAGTCCGCTGAGCATGGGTGGCTGGAACTGAACCGGGAAGGCACTCGGATGGGATGTCATGGGCCAGGGAGGGCGTCAGCAGCCAGTGAGGCATTAAGGCTGCATCATTCTGCTAGGCCATGGCCATAAGAAACTGCAAGAAAACAGACAGTGTTTATAGGGCAGGAGCCCAACTGGGTCAGCAGGCCAGACCCCGGGTAAGCCTATGGCAGGATTCCCCAAAGTGACATCCCCTTCCTCCTCCCATGACTATGCAGGGAATTTCATTTGAAAAGAAGGTATCAGGGGGCTGGAGCGATAGTACAGGAGGTACAGGAGGCAGGGTGTTTGCTTAGTACATGGCTGACCTGGGTGCCATTCCCAGCATCCCATATGGTCCCTGAGTACTACCAGGAGTAATTCCTGAGTGCAGAGCCAGGAGTCACCCCTGCGCACCACCAGGTGTGGCCCAAAATAAAATAAAAGAAACAGATATATCCAGCTCAGCCCTGACACATGACTGACCCTAATGACTCTTGGGGTGATGAGCACAAATCCACATTCTCAGCATATCCCCAAGCCTGGAAAAGCCTCCCCTGGTCTGACTCCATTAGGCAGTCAGCCTGCTTCTCATGGCTCCTCAAAACCCTCACCTTCCAGGCTCGGTGGCAGACCACTGTGTGAGACCCTTGGTTGGATCCCTGGCACTGTCTTAAAAAAAAATCAAAACGCAAACCCTAAAACATCCTCTCCTTCCTTCCCGCTCTTTTAGTGGGAACCACTTACACCAGACGCCCCCTCAGTCTTCAACCTTTACGCGCAAATCATGAGACTCTGTGACCTATAATCGAAGAGCACTTTTCTGGGAATCACTGGTGATATTAGATATTGTACTAAGGCACTTGTCTTATACACAGTTGACTCCAGTCAGATCCCCAGCACAACAAATGATTCTCTGAGCACTGGAGTGATCATCAAGCACAGAGTCAGAAGTAAGCTCTGAGCACCGCTGGGCATGACCTTCCCCACACCACCAGAATTCTTCAACCTTGTTATACCAGCAACTGTCCTACATACCAGTATTCGAACCTGCAGTTACAACCAAAGTGGTAAACCAGTGGTTTCCAACCTTTTTCTACCTGGAGATAGTACATGTCTGTGGACTCATGGTTGAAGGACACTGGTATAAAAACGAGGAAGATGCCAGTTTCTGCCCTCCAAGAATCATGTCTTCAGGGCCAGGATGCACCCAGTGAAAGCGCCATCAAACCAGAGTCTTGGATCACTAACTTGCTCTTGCACCTTGCCTCTAAGATGGCCTGGGGATGCGGGTGGCTTAAAACTACCAGGAAACCAGTTGGTACCACAGCAGTTCCAAGGACAAATACAGTAAGGCAGAGCCACTCCAGGATGACACTGTGACTATAGGGTTGTGGCATGTACCTCAGGGAGGGGCAGACCCCATCTTCTTTAGGAAAACTCAGGCCACTCCACTCCTAATCTTGAACAAAGCAGCAACAATTGCACATTTGCATGCGTTTCTCCAGTGGGAATGTGTGGATGGATCCAGATCATACTGCTGTGGGCCAGATGTCAATTTGCATGTGGCACAGACAAACGAGCCAGTTCTCGGGCTGAGCTTAATCTATTTCCATGTCTGCTCACTGTCAGGTAGAGACTGTGTCCTCGGTTTGGAGGTCTGGTCTGGTTTCTGCCATCTCATCAGCCTCCTATCAGCCTCTCCTACACTCCAAAGAGCCCCAACTAGGGCTGAACCACTTGAAGAACCTTATGGACTGCTGGTCCTCGTTGCATCTGCTGCCTTTAAGTCTGGCAGCCCCTTCCCAGGTCAGCCATCCGATCCCGAGGCAGCAGAGGATGGGTGAGCGAGAGAGTCCTCCAGAGGGAAGCCTCCCTGGGATTCCCCTTCCCCACGTGGGATACTAAGTCCCTGCTCCAGACTTTCTCAGTCAAAGAGTTCTTCCTCACACCTGGATCAGTTGTCGAGGGATTTCACTCTACCTTTCCATTTTGGACCACACCCGGCACTTCTCAGGGGCTAGTCCTAGCTCGGGGTCTGGGGTTACTCCCTGCAATATTTGGAAGGACCACATGGTGTGGGGGTCGGGGGGGAGGTTGAACCCAGGCCTCCTGGCATACAATCCAATGAGTCACTGCTCCATCTCTCACCTTACGATTCTTCAGAACGATCCTACTGCTCAAGGCCCTCTCCTCCCACAGGTGCTTACAAATTTGCTGAACTGGGTCCCAGAGCGACAGTACAAAGGGTAGGGTGTTTGCCTTGCATGCGGCCAACCAGGTTTCCATCCCTGATACCCAATATGGTCCCTTGAGAACTGAAAACCACCAAGAATAATTCCTGAGTGCGGAGCCCTGAGTAACCCTTGCGCACAGCTGGTGTTTACCCCTCTCTAAATTTGCTGAATACAGTGTCTAGGGCCAGGAAGATAGCTTGAAAAGCAGGAACATAGACTTTGCATACCTGAAGCTGGGCTTTGATTCCTACACTCCATGGTCCTCAGTGCACCTCCACGGAGAGACGCCTGCTGGCCTCACCTTCCAAAGAAAACAAAACAAAACCATCACAAGGGCCAGACAGATAGTACAACAGCTGCCTTGCATATTGCAGACCTTGGTTTGATCTGCTGCAACAGAAATGAGTCCCTGGCCCTGCCAGGAGATAGCTTGGCACACAGATCCAGGAGTAAACCCAGAGCATAGCCCAGTATGACTACTAAACAACAACTGTAGCACTGTAGCACTATCCTCCCATTGTTCATCAATTTGCTCGACCAGGTACCAGTAACGCCTCTCTTGAAAGACTTGCTGTTAATTTTTTTGGCATACTGAATACCCCATGGGGAGCTTGCCAGGCTCTGCCGTGCAGGTGGGATACTCTCAGGCACTTGCCGGGCTCTCCAAGAGGGGCAGAGGAATCGAACCCGGGTCAGCTACGGGCAAGGCAAACACCCTACCAGCTGTGCTATCGCTCCAGCCCCTAAACAACACAACAACAAAAACCAACAACATAGGGGCTGGAGTGATAGCACAGCGGATAGGGCATTTGCCTTGCACGCGATCGACCCGGGTTTGATTCCCAGCATCCCATATGGTCTCCTGAGCACTGCCAAGAGTAATTCCTGACTGCATGAGCCAGGAGTAAACCCTGTGCATTGCCAGGTGTGACCCAAAAAGCAAAAAAAAAAAAAGAAAACCCAACAACATAATGTCCTTAACAATGTATTCTAAAAGGCTTTCTGGAGAGGAAGAAAACTGTTTCTCTAGAATTTTAGGGTGGGGCTGGGTAAGGGTGGTTGCTGGCCTGTTGGAAAGGGCAAAGGCTACAAAAACAAATCCTACCTGCCAGTGCCCTGCAGTCAAAGGCATCAGGCACAGCCCAGGAAGGACTGGGGGCTGGTTTGCTCTAAAGGTCCCATGAGGGTAGGAGGAAAGCCTGAACCCAGTAGCATGCTTAAATACTACAGGAGGTTCTAGAAACTCATCAGAATCCTCCTCCCTGCCAGTGGTTACTAGGAATAAAAGCTACCAGAGGAGAGTAATTTTATCAGATGAGTTACTAAGTGCTGAGGATACGAAAATCTACAGGGCAGCTCAGCTCACCTATCTCATAGAACTCAGTCTAACTGCCACAAAGATGAGGAATTACAGGGGGACAAGCAGGAAGGCGTGGCCGCCTCCTAACTTTCTTATAAGGGACCAAGGAGGCAACCCAGGCTGTACCTAGTGCAGATGGCAGCCCTCGCTCCCCCATAACTAGTCTTGTCCCGGGAACTGAAACATAGGGCTATACCTGTACAGAGGGGAGGGGGCTTGCCCTGCACACAGCCCACCCAGGTTCAATCCCCCGCATCCCATAGGGTCCCCCAAATCCTGCCAGGGCGGATCCCTGAGTGCAGAGCCAGGAGTAAGTCCTGAGCACTGCCAGGTTGGCCCTCACACAAAAACAAACAAACAAACAAACAAAAAACACAGGGCATCAGTAAGGAGTGAAAGGATTTGTTCTTGGCTTGGGGCTTGGGAGCCCAGCAGTGACAGTGGAACTGGTGGCTTGTGGGCGAGTCTTTCTTGTTCCACCCGGGCTGCAAATTTTATTTTAAAAAGGGCAACAGAGAGGGGCTGGAGCGATGGCAGAGCGGATAGGGCGTTTGCCTTGCAGGCGGCCAACGGGGTTTGATTTCCGGCAACCCATATGGTCCCTCGAGCACCGGTAGGAGTGATTCCTGAGTGCAGAGGCAGGAGTGACTGCTGAGCATAGCCGGGTGTGACTCCAAAAGCAAGAAAAACAAAAGGCAACAGAGAGGCCGGAACTATTGTACAGCGGATAGGGGGATAGGGCGCACATTGCCTTGCATGCAGCTAACCCAAGTTCGATCCCCAGCATCCCATAAGGTCTCCTGAGCACTTTCGCTTTCTCCCCTGGCTCTGGCTCCTTCCCAAGCCAGCTCTTTGCACCCCGAGGTCTCCAGGAGTAATTTGAGTACAGAGCCAGGAAGTAACCCCTGGGCATCACTGGGCGTGACCCCAAAAGCAAAAAAATAAAATAATAATAATAAAATAGCAAATAAATAAAAAGGCAACGGAGATCTGAAGACCTTTCGGCCGGAGACGGAGGGAGAAACCAATTAATCTCATCCCTTTCTTTACTGAGGAGGGGGCGGGGCTCACGACTTTCTAACCCCCCAAACCGTCGCCCACCGGGTCCGACCGTTCCAAGCACCCCGACAGGCGGGTGCCTGGGGTTTAGTGTCTCCCCACGGGGAGGCCGAGAGGGCGGCGGGGCCGAGCCGGGTCCCTCTCGCCGCGCCCAGAGCGCAGGCTCGCGTCGCCCCCTCCCGGGGGCCCTCGGGGCGCGTTCCTGGGGGCTGCTGGCTTGGGGGAGGGGGGACTCCAAGACGCGGGCAGGCGGCCTCACCTCTTTCGCACAGGCGGGAGGGTCGGTCCGTCCAGGGAGTGACCGCGCCCTCCGGGACACCGCGGGGAGGCCGGCCATGAGCGCCAGCTACCATCCCCGGCAGCCGGCCGGCCGGCCGCGGTCCCTAGCGGAAGGCCCCGGGTCGCGGGGAGGAGTCGCCGAGACGGGTTCTTCGGGGGAGAAACCCCGACCTCCCCGCAACTACCCCGGGGTTTCGGCCGGGCTGGGGGATCCGGGCAGCCCCGCGGCGTCCCACACCGCCCTCCCCGCTCCCGCGGTCTCCAAGGCAACGGCCGGGCCGCCCCCGCGACGGCGGCCGCCGAGGGACAATCCCCGGCGCTCCGCGTGCGCGTTGCGCGTGCGCGCTCCGCCTCGGGGCACCGCTCCCCTCCGCCCGCGTCTCTCGGCCCGCGCGCGCCCACCCGGCATGGCTCTGCGTCTGACGGCGGGCGCTCCCCGAGCGTCCTGGGCCCCGGGCGACCCAGCCGGCCAAGTGCGCAGACCCTCGGTGTCCTGGCCCGCGGACGACGCCCCGTCGGGTGCCCAGAAGGCGGCGCCGGCCGGCGGCCCCCTGTGCGCGGGCCAGAGCTCCTTCAGCGTCCGCCTCAGCGGCCTCGCCAACCGCCCCGAGGCCAAGATCGGCTCCCAGCCGCGCGTCGTCTTCTTCTACCCGCGCACCCAGAAGTCGCTGGCCTTCGTCAGGTGCCGTCCAGCCGCCGCGCGAGGCGGCCAGAGGGCGAAGATGCCGGGGACCCCGAGTCTCCCGGACCCCCCGCCCCCGCTCTCGCCCCTGGCTCCTTCCCAGCCAGCTCTTTCTTTGCACCCCGAGGACCCCTGGAGCCTGCGTTCTCCGCATCCCCTTTCCCGCCACCCCCCCGGAGAAGATGCTCTTGCCGCCGCCCCCGCCACATTCCCAGGCCCGACCACGTGCCGCCTCCGGAACCCCGAACTCCCGGGGGTGGCCCTGGTCTCTTCTTTCCCCGTATTTCCCCGTAACCCGGGAACGCCCCGCAGCCCCACCCCCAGGTTCCTCCGGCCAGACCCAGTCCCCTCCTCCCCAGCACCCCAGTACTCTCCTGCCCCGTGCCCTGCAAAGCAGTTTGCTGTTTATTACTCAAAAGGGAACATTCCCAGTCCCTGCTTTTGTCTCCCCACACGGGAAGGACTCGCAGATTTTGTGCTGCTCCTGAGTGGGTGAAGAGTCTTTTGTGTGTTTTAAAATATTAATTGTAGGGGCTGGAGCGATAGCACAGCGGGTAGGGCGTTTGTCTTGCACCAGCCGACCCGGGTTCGATTCCCAGCATCCCATATGGTCCCCCGAGCACCGCCAGGGGTAATTCCTGAGTGCAGAGCCAGGAGTAACCCCTGTGCATCGCCAGGTGTGACCCTAAAAGAAAAAAATATTAATTGTTGGGGCTGGAGAGATAGCACAGTGGGTAGGGCGTTTGCCTTGCACGGGCTGACCCGGGTTCGATTCCCAGCATCCCATATGGTCCCCTGAGCACCACCAAGAGTAACTCCTGAGTGAAGAGCCAGGAGGAACCCCTGTGCATCGCTGGGTGTGACCCAAAAAGCAAAAAAATAAAATATTAATTGTTATTGTTTTGGGACTACACCCTGCAGTGCTCAGGAGTGTCTCCTGATTTGCTCTAGCCAGTCAGTTTTTTGGAGATGGTGCAGTGAGGGGTGTGAGGGATCAAGCCCTGTCTCCTGCGTGCAAGAAGGAGCTTTTTTTATATTTTATGAAAGCTTTCTCTCTCTCTCTCTCTCTCTCTCTCTTCCCCCCACCCCCACTACTGACTCTGCTGCTCTCAGGAATTACTCCTGTAGGGGCTCAGTGCTTACTCCTGGCTCTGTGCTCAGGGATCACTCATGGCAGGGATCAGGGAACCATCTGGGGTACCAGGGATCAAACCTAGGTAAGCTGTATGCAAAATGAGCAATGTGAGGATCCTACCGGCTCCACTATCGCTTCAGTTCATTCGTTCTCTTTTTCAAAAACAGGACTTAAAACAAATCTTGATCTCTAAATAAATAGCCTCTTCCATCACCCCATGCCCTTCCTGACAGGAGTAATTTTTGAGTGCAGAGCCTGAGTGCCACCAGAATGCCCACCCCCACATAAAAAGAACCAGGAGTTAGAAGTAATAACTGCTAATTTGATGTCTATTATAGATCCATTCGTGTATATTTTGCAACATGCATATGTATTTGGGGGGGATATGTCACAAAAAAGTTCGCACTTGGGCTGGAGCAATAGTATAGTAGGGTGTGTGCCTTGCGTGTGGCCAGTCTGGGTTGGATCCCTGGTGCTCTGTATGGCCCCCTGAGCCTGCCAGGAGTGATCCCTGAGAGCTTAATCCCAAAATTAAGCTCTGATTAAGCTCTGAGCACCACTGGGTGTGGCCAGAAGAAAAAAGTTTACACTTTTGTAACCTTTTGTTCTTTTTGTTGGGGGGCCACACCCAGTGGTGCTCAGAGATGCTGATCCTGGCTCAGTGCTGATGAGGAGAGCTGGGTATCGAATTCCTTTGAGCCCCTCCCCAGCCCTGCACATTTTTTCTTTGAAATAATGGCTTCTCTGGGCATTTCTGTGAAATGTCTCTTGTGGAAATTAGAGAGAGAGAGAAGGATTGTACCTGCCACAGAGGCAGGGGGTGGGGTGGGATGGGGTGGCGGGAGGGACACTGGGAACAATGGTGGTGGAAAATGTGCACTGGTTTGAGGGATGGGTGCTCGAGAGCATTAACTGAAACATAATCATGAAAGTTTATAACTATCTCACAATGATCTGATAAAAATTAAATAAACTAAGAAAAAAATAAGGAAATGTCCCTTGTGGAAAGTCAGTCCTAGCCCCAGTATGGGTGTTCCTGGACTGTAGGATAACACTGAATGGACCCAGCGCAAGCTGTGAGCTACCCTGGCATCGAAATGGGCCAGGCCAAAGCGCCACGATACTCAACTATAAGTTGAAGGCATGATCATGGACAAATGTTGTCATGATCCAAAAGTAACGAAGAGACTAGGACCCTTGCTGGGGTTAGGAAGACTAACCTGAGGACTGCGGAATGTATAATGAGATGTTTATATCTCTTACTGTGCTCACACAGAATGACATTGCTAGAAATATTAGAAGTAGATTTATTACAACTATTTAAGTAGATTACTAGAGTGGGTCTCCTAGTAATCTGGAGTAATCTCTCTCTTTTTTTTTTTTTTTTTTTTTTTTTTTTGCTTTTTGGGTCACACCTGGTGATGCACAGGAGTTACTCCTGGCTCTGCACTCAGGAGTTACTCCTGGCGGTGCTCAGGGGACCATACGGGATGCTGGGAATCGAACCCGGTTTGGCTGCGTGCAAGGCAAACGCCCTACCCGCTGTGCTATCTCTCCAGCCCCTGGAGTAATCTCTTTAGATGAGATTTTATCCTTGAGTTAATCTCCTGGAGGAGTGGTCTTACCCCTCTTTGTTGATTTGTTCATGTTCAACCCACCTTTGTGTCGCAGCCTTATGCCTTACGTGATTGCTATATAAACTAAGACTGTAGGCCCAGGCCGGAGGAGATCCAGAGTCAGGGCAAGAGGGGCTCAAGCTTGAGAGAGAGAACAGCTGTCCTGATCCAGGCCATACACAGGGCTCAAGAGCACCGAACGCGGGCGGTGATAAAGAGCCGTCCAGAGAGCCCACGAACACACAACCTTCAGCGTGTTAAGATTTTACACTGGACCATCACTTTTCCCTTTTCGAACAGAATTTCAAAAAGTGGTGAAATAGTGAAGCAAGATAGTTTTCATTGAACAAAATTTGCCAGGGAAAGATGTGAGGAGAAAAATGTGGGAAATAAGTATTCTAGGAGAACACAGGCTACAGGCTTCTTTAGAGTGGAACATCCCTCGGGATAACTTTCCTTTAAACATCTGCAAAACATCCCTTTAGGGCACATTTTTTCCAAGAAAAATGCCCCTTTTCCTTTCTCATATGACAATTATGACAGAGTTTTGGTTTCTCTAAGAAGTCTGGAAATCTGGGGGCTGCATAGGATAGGGCATCTGCCTGCATGTGGCCAACCTGGGTTCGATCCCTGGTATCCTGTATGGTCCCCTGAGTACCTCCAAGAGTAATTCCTGGGTGCAGAGCCAGGAGAAATCCCTGGCATTGTGGGTGTGGTACAGTTCCTCCCCAACCCCAAAAACTGGGGAGTTATATCTACTCCACAAGAATCCCCCCACATCAGACTCAGCACCAGTACTGGCACAGGCCACCTCACACTGTCCCATCTTTCCTTCCCTCTCCAGCGTAATGAATGCCAGTGAAGCAGCCGTGAAAAAACTGTTACCAAAGAGCAACTTATCTCGAGTCATTACCCGTGACAACCTCAGTGCACAAAGAATGTATGAAATAGAGGTAAAGCGGTCGCAAGCGTTCACCATAGGGGAGATAGGAGACTGACCCCTCTTCACACGCCCCTGTGCCCTAGAGGGCAGATCACACATCTCTGGGGTGATGGGGAGGCCTCTGGGTGCTCAAGAGCCCATTTTCCAGAGGCGGCCATTGAGGCTGGGGTTACTCATTTGTCCCAGGGAGACAGGGAAGATTCCACTTTCCTTGGTTCCTGTGGCATGTCTTTTCCCCAACCCCCAAAGTACTTTTTCTCCCCTCCCCCTTTTTTTCCGGTGTGTGTATAGAGTAGGAGTGGGGTGGGGTGGTCACCAGCTTTGTGCTTGAAGGACCATAATGGCTGCCAAGGATCAAAACTAGGTCCACCTCATATAAGGCAAGTGTCTTTCCACTGAACTATCTCTCCGGCCCCATGCTTAAGTGTATTTCTGCCTTCAAAAAAAGCTCATAATCAGAGAGCTCCTACCTGTTTCTAAGGATTGTAATGAGAACAGTGAAGAGCTAGCCTCCTTTATCTTCAGTTTTTTTTTTTTTTTTGGTCTACACCCAGCAGTGTTCGGTGCTTACTCCTGTCTCTGTGCTCAGGGATCACTCCTGGTGGCCTTGTGGGGACCGTATGTGGTATTGGTGATCAAATCTGTGTTAGCCTCGTGTAAGGCAAGAACCCTACCCTCTGTACTATCACTCTGGGCCCAGAACCAGCATTGGGAGGCTTTCTGAGCAGTCTCTGAGAATAGTGGACTCACCTGTTTCCCTTTGTCATTTTTAGTCTTGTTTTTGGACCATAGCAGGGTGATTCTCGGCTCAGTGCTCTGACCTCTGGGGGTACTAGGGAAACAGAGACAGGACCAGAATATCAAACCACGAGGCCCCAGCGCTATCTCTCAAGCCCCTGCCTCTTCTTTGTCTTGACTGTGGTTCTCAGCTAGAGCAAATGCTGCCCCTTAGGGGGCTTTGGTACTGCCTGGGAGCATGTTTTCTATCACACATTAGAGTGTGGGTGCTATTGGCATCCAGTAGTGGCATGCTGGCGTGCAGCTAAACTGTCGAGACACCTGTTGCTGGTGGCAAGGTAAAGTGGGGAGCCAGGGAGGTAGGCTGAGAAAAGAGTACTTCCACCTCTCTACAGGACCCACTGGCACTCGGGGAAAGGCCTGGCTTGGATCAGGAGGGGTAAAATCTGCCAGGAGGCCCTCCTGGGCACTGACACTCGGCCTTACAAGGCAGCTGTCAACCTGCACTGGGACTCCACTTGTTCTGCGCGGCTTGGGAGATGATCCCTGCACCCGATTCCTCAGGATGCTGTGGACTCAGGCTGGAGGAAGGAATTGCTCTTTGGAGGAGAGGAAAGTCAGTCCTAGCCCTAGTATAAGCATTCCTGGACTGTTACTTTTCCCTCATAGAAAAGAATTTTAAAAGGAGACGAAATAGTGGAGCAAGGTAATTTTCTTTCTTTTTTATTTTTTAATCTTTTTTTTTTTTGTAGGAGTACTGCTATTTATTCAGCCACTTGTTAGCTGATTGAATTGGGCATGAACTCCACCTTAATTTTTTTAATTTATTTTTTTCTTTTTATATTTATTTATTGAATCACTGTGGGAAAAGTTACTAAGCTTTCAGGTTTAAGTCTCGGCCATACAATGATCAAACACCTTTCCCTTCACCAGTACTCATTTTTCACCACCAAGAACCCCAGTATACCCCCCCTTCCACCCCCCCAAATGCCTGTGAGGCAGATGATTTCTACTTAACTCTTTTCTACATTGATTACATTCATTATTTCGACAAAAGATGCACCATTATTGTTTAGAATTTCCCCCCAAACAATCAGAATTGCTGAAAAGGCATCGTGAAATATTTTGTTTTCTATAGCTGGTTATGAGAATCATATAATGTCACACGGCCACGATTTTGGATTTCTTCAAAGAGCCAGATAATTACGAGATTGGTTTCTGTGTGTCTGGTGTTATGGCTGGGCTGGAGAGCCGCTCGTGGGGGCAACTCGTGACCTCGGTAGGGCATGAAGGATGAGCCCGTACGGCCCCCCTTCCCATGAGACTGCAGTTGCCCCATCACCACCGGCTCATACCTGGCTTTCCTATAAGCTCTGAGGTGGCGGCCACCTTGCTGCCAGGGGGGAAAACGGTGGAAGGGAGCAATACCCTTTCCCTCCTGGGGAGGCATGGTGGTGCTGTAGTTTAACGCATGGTCCATTCACTTTTCTGCCACAAGCTGCCGGGTTCTGGACTAAGTCGTTTTGCCTCTGGAGCCATGGCCGTGCCAGAGAGCCGCTTGTGGGGGGCAACTCGTGATCTCGGTAGGGCGTGAAGGACTAGCTGGTATGGCCCCCCTTTCCCAGGAGACTGCAGTTGCCCCGTCACTGCCGGCTCATACCTGGCTTTCCAATAAGTTCTGAGCCGGCGACCATCTTGTATGCAGTCAAGATGCATTTCTGCCAAAAGCCACTGGGTTTCAAGATTTGTTTCTGAGTCTCCAATATCATGGCTATTAATCAGCTTGATCAGGAGCCAGAGAGGCCGTTTGTAGGCGGCGACTCAGGGTCTTATTGGGATGGGGAGAAAGAGTCGGCTCCACCCCCTGTGTTGAGGCCCCGTGTGTCTCATCACTGCAGGCCCAAACCTGACTGTCCACTGACCTCTGTAGGGTGGTGGTCACTAGCTGCCAGGGGAAACAGGCCAAGGCATGAAACCTATTCCCACCTGGAGTGGCCCAGCGCTAGTAACCTACTGTAGGAACAGGACGCATTTCTGCCAAAAGCCTTCGGGTTCCGTGATTCGTTTCTGAGACTCTGGGATCATGGCCATTAAGCAGTTCAATCGGGAACCAGAGAGGCCATGCCTCCAATTATATAGCTGAGCTGGAGGTGGTTTGTGGGTGTGTCTCCCACATACCTAACTTTTGGCCGTTTACTTTCTTGGTAAACCTTGCCCCAAGTTTTTGGGGTCTGGCCAAAGGCACAGCAACAATTTTGGGATATCTGAAAGTCTGACATTGCCATCAGGCTGCTGATGCACTCACCTCGCAGGTACAGATTGACCTGCGGGCGGCACCATACCCCCTTATTTTTGAATCTTTATTTAAAAAAATTTTTTTTCTTAAGGGATTCTATTTTATTTTATAATTTATTTTTTATTGTTTTTTATATTTGATTTTTTTTAAATTTTATTTTCAGGGACTGGAGCTATAGTACAATGGGTAGGGTTTTTGCCTTGCATGCGGCTGACCAGGTTCAGTTCCCAGTATCCCATATAGTTCCCCAAGCACCATCAGGAGTAGTACAGAGCCAGGAATAACCCTGTGCATCACCAGGTGTGACCCAAAAAGCAAACAAACAAACACTGTCCTCCTGTTGTTCATCGATTTGCTCGAGCGGGCCCAGTAATGCCTCCATTTTGAGACTTGTTGTTACTGTGTTTGGCATATTGAATACGTCACAGGTAGCTTGCCAGGCTTTGCTGTGCGGGCGAGATACTCTTGGTAACTTGCTGGGCTCTCTGAGAGGGGCAGAGGAATCAAACCCGGCTCGGCCGGGCTGGCTGCACGCAAGGCAAACACCCTACCACTGTGCTATTGCTCCAGACCCAAAAAGCAAAAGCAAAAAAATTTTTTAAAGAGTTGTTCACAGTATTGATTATACTTAATATTTCAACACCAATCTCACAATCATTATACATTCCCACCACGATTATTTCGAGTTTTCCCAACACTACCCCAGCCTGCCCCAAAGGCAGGATGCTAAATAATTTATTTTGTGTTACTTGTGATGAATAATTGACTAAAAATGATCCAAAAAGATTTTATTAAAGGAAAATGTGTGAAAATTGTTGTATCCATTAATCAGAGATAGTTAAAAATGTTGTTAGAGTTGGAGTCTTTTTTGCTAATATACATATGTACATATATGCATATATATGTATGTGTATATGTATATATGTACATTTTTTATTAGCGAATCACCATGGGATACGGTCACAAACTTACGAACTTTCGTGTTTGCATTACAGTCATACAGTGATCGAGTACCCATCCCTCCACCAGTGCCCATTCTCCCCCACCAATGTTCCCAGCATACATTTTTTTTTAATCAAGATTGGTTGTCTTCTACCTATCAGATGCGGTGTACTACTCTGTATATCAGTGGCATAATTGTATGGGATGTTTTGTGGCCACATGCTCCTGGAATTCTAAAGTTTTTTCATAGGGTGCTAGAAAATAACTTTTTTAACTGGATGGTGATTTTGGGGTCCCGACACATCTCTGCAGCATGCTTCTCTCTTCTGAGATTCTTTTGTGCATCTGGATCGTGGCTGTTAATGTGCTTAATGGCAGTTTGTGGGTATGACTGACTGGAAAATGGAAGTTCAGAGAGGTGGAAGCAGGGGCCTATTCCCGACTCTGGAACCTTGAGATTTCAGTCACAAGTGCCACATACCTGGGGTTTTCAGTGGATTCAATCTCATGCCCTGGGCTTGGAGTGAGCCAGTAAAGTCGGCTGTGAGTATAGCAGTGATTGGGTTCTGGAAGTTTTAGCTGCCGAGGTTCTTCTTTTGGGGCAGGCGGAGGGACATACCTGCCCCACAAGGTAGTTTTAGTGAACAAAATTTCTGGGGGAGATGTGAGAGGAGAAAAACAGGGGAAATATTTGTTCGTGGGAGAACACAGGCTCCTCTAAAGTGGAAAAAATCAAAGAGAAAAAGATACGAGCAAGCGAGATATATGTTTAAGGGGGAGCATAGCCTTGAAGAGCATATATAGAAGTTAATATAGGTGTGGTCACAGTAAAACCTTGCCCTGTTATTGGTCTCATAATCTCAGCCCTTGCTCTCCTGATGGTCTCTTTTTTTTTTATTTTAATTTTAATTTTTTTAATTAATTCATTGTGAGGGACAGCAACAAAAATCTCATGTTTGAACTTCGATCCTACAGTCATCAAACACTCATCCCTTCACCAGTGCACGTTTTCCATCACCAAAATCCCCAGTATCCCCACCCCCCATTCTACACCTCCCCCTGCATGTATGGCAGACAATTTGCAAAATATTCTTTCTCTACTTTAGTTACCTTTGATATTTCGAGACAAGTCTTACTACTCCTCGTACCTGCCGAAAATGCAATGTTAGACAATGTGTTCTACATTGCTTGTTATGGATATAATATAATGTCGCGCTGTGAAATTCAAAGATTTTAATAATTAGGGGCTGAAGAAATCACTGCAGCAAGTTGCTCAGGTCCGAGATTCGTTTGTGTGTCTCTGGATCGTGGCCATGTGGGAGCTTAAGTAGACGGTGGGCAGATGTAGCGTCATCTCGGCGTCCCACCGGGGGTGGGGTGGGGGATGGAGGGCCCACTCCTCCCCTGTCCCGTGAGACTTGGGATTTGCCATCACCGTGACTTGTACCTGGTGCTTCTCGCTGACTCCTAGAAAGCCTCGCTGGGGCTTTTAAAGGGCAGATGGAGGGACACCTTCCCCCACCTAGAGCAGCCCAGCAGAGAGGGCCCACTGCAAAGTCCCGGGCCATCAGGTTGCTAAGGTCCGAAATTTGTTTGCGTGTCTCTGGATCATGGCCACGTGGGAGCTTAAGTTGACGGTGGACAGATGTGGCATCATCTCGGTGTCCCACTGGGACGGGGGGAGGATCATGGTCTCTTCTTAATCTCACAGATTCTTCCGTAGCTTCTTTTCTGAGGGCTGTATGCTTCTCTGGTGGGGCCTTGGGTTTCTGGATGTCGCAATTTCTCCTCTCCACAGAATTCAGGATTTGTATTTCAAAGGGTGTGGTCTTCATTCATGCCTTTGGGGTACTTCATGGCTTGGCAGTTTCTTATTTTTTAATTCTTGTTTTTGTTTTGTTTGGGGGCCACATCCAGTGATGTTCAGGGGTAAGTCCTGACTTTGCATTCAGGAATTACTCCTGGCAGTGCTTGAGGAACCGTATGGGATGCTGGGGATCGAACCTGGGTCAACCGCATGCAAGGCAAGTGCTCAACCCACTGTACTACCTTTCCAGTGCAAGGCAATCTCTTCTCAAGTTTTTTTTTTTAATTTCCCAAAATTACATTATGGGGGTAGGGAGGCCTCTACTTATGTGCTTACAACCCACCATTGGTAAAAATGAAACTCACAATGAAATCACTGGCCTAGAGGTGACCCCCAAAAGCCTGCTGTCATTGGGTGACTGAGAGAACAGTCATACAAAGTAGCCCCTAACTTCCTAATGGCTGCAGCAGAATCAATTCAGATACTTGATACCAGCGCAGATTCCAGAGGGCCAGGAGAGAGTACGGGAGGGAAGGGATGGGCTTTGGCTGCTGGCTCAGTCCCTGGCATCACATCTGGCCTCCCAGCTCCTGTGGCTATGTCAACTCTCCCCCGGGCTTTCCTTGGCAGTGCCCTGGCTTGAATGCTATGATGCTGTGGGGTGTGTCTGTTCAGCCTGGCTTAGGAGTACTTGGGCACGGGGCTGGAAAGCTAATACAGCAGGAAGGGTGCTTGCCTTGCATGTGGCCCACCCGGATTCTATCTCTTGTGCCCCGAGCACTGCCAGGAGTAAATTCCTGAGTTGAGAGCCACAAACAAGTTTTGAGCGCTGCCAGGCGTGGTATAAACCAACAAAAAAATAGCACTGCGCTGTAGCACTGTCCTCCCGTTGTTCATCGATTTGCTTGAGTGGGCCCAGTAATGTCTCCATTGTGAGACTTTTTGTTACTGTGTTTGGCATATCGAATACGTCACGGGGAGCTTGCCAGGCTCTGCCATGCGGACGAGATACTCTTGGTAGCTTGCCGGGCTCTCCGAGAGGGGCGGAGGAATCGAAGCTGGGCCAACCAGGTCGGCCACGCGCAAAGCAAATGCTCTACCCGCTGTGCTATAGCTCCAGCCCAACAAAAAAATATCCAGGAATATTTGGGCACGTGTCTCTTCTTCCTCACCCTCTTGCAGCCCCTCGCAGACCTGCAGCTGCCTTTGTTTAGAATCCTCTGTAGTTACCTCCCGGGAATGAGGAAGGTAGAGGATGGGACTTCCCCAGAGCTTGGTGGGGAGAGGCAGAAATGACATCACAGAGAAACCAGTAGCATGCACTGGTGTTTACATGGTAGGGCAGTGTCAAGGGCAATATATGAGACGCGTCAGGTGAGTAACAGGGACAGAGTGGTAGCTGTTAAAGAAGGGGTGACGGGACTGAAGAGATAGTGCAGTGGGTAGGGTTAGGGGTAGGCGTAGAAGGAGAGGTAGGTTTAGGGTTAAGGGTTAAGCATTAGGGTTAGGGTTAAGGGTTATGGGTAGGGGTAAGGTTAGGGTTGGGTTTGGTTAGGGTTGGGTTAGGGTTAAGGTTATGGTTAGGGTTAGGGTTGGGTTAGGGGTAGGGGTAGGGTTAGTGGGTTAGGATTAGGGGATTAGGGTTCCGGTTAGGGGTAGGGTAGGGGAGGGGAGGGTTAGGGTTAAGGTTAGGGAGTTAGGGTTAGGGGGTTAGGGTTAGGGGGTTAGGGTTAGGGGCTAACTTGCAAGTGGTCGACCTGGATTCAATTCCCAGCACCCCACAGAGTCCCCTGAGCTTCACCAGGAATGATCCCTGAGCTCAGAGCTAAAGGCGAGTCCTGAGCTCTGCTGGGTGTGGGACCCCGGCCCCTCCCCCCCTCAAAAAATAGAAGAAGGGAAGAGAAATCAGAGGCACATACACTTTCCCCATGCATTCTATACAATAGAGGTGTTCAGAGGGAAAGACAGTACATAGGAGGTAAGGCACCTGCCTGGCAGATGGCTGACCCCGCTTCAAATGCAAGGTATGGTTTCCCCCCAACGCAGCCCCCACTGCCCCCTGAGCACTGCTGAGTGTCCCCACCCCCTCTCCGTAGAGAGGCTAAGGGTACAGTCAGGAGCCTAGACTGCAGGGACCATGGGCTTCTCTCCTTCAGTGACCCCATTTCATACACAGATAAACTGAGGCTCCCCATGAGTGAAGTTCTTGTGGAATAGTGGGTCCAATAGGCCCGTTTCCAGCTCCCTCCCCAAGCAGTTTCCTCATCTTAACTGCCTCTGTCCTTTCTTTAAGCTAAAAGCTACTGAAAAGAACAAGAAAAAGATGATCCACTTGTACGACCACCTGAAGAAGAAGTTCATGACGGATGAGCTCAGGAAGCTGAGCCGCTGGAGACGGGAGTTCATGCACATCCAGTACTACTTGGACTGCTTGCACCACAGAGCGAGTTTTGAATACGACGAGCTGGGGAGGGCAGTCTACGTGTGGTAGTCCGAGCTCTGCTCCAAGGCTGTGCCGGCTCCAGTGGGCTGTAGGAGAAGACACGAAGGGGCCGGAGAGAAGGGACAGCCTGCCGGGTTCAGTCCCCAGCATTCCATATGATCCCTTGAATCCTGCCAAGGGTGATCCCCCAAACAAAAATGAAAACAAAAAATAAAAGAGAGAGAGAGAAGATGTAGAAACAAGCCAGCACGCGTGATGGCAGAACCGCAATAAACCATAAGTAGCGTGAGAGGACCGCGGAACACAAAACCCTCAGAAATTTTGCCTTTTTATTATGTTTTTAATTTTTTTCGGAGGGGGGGATGGGCCACACCCACCGGTGCTAAGGGATTACTCCTGGCTCTGTGCTCAGGGATTTCTCCTGGTAGTGCTTAGGGGACCCTATGCAGTGCAGGGGATGGAATTGGGGTTGACCACGTGCAAGCCAGCCTTAACCCCTGCACTCTCTCCAAGCCCATATATATATATATATATATATATATTTGCTTTTTGGGTCACATCTGGCGATGCACAGGGGTTACTCCTGGCTCTGCACTCAGGAGTTACTCCTGGCGGTGCTCAGGGGATCATATGGGATGCTGGGATTCGAACCCAGGTTGGCCGTGTACAAGGCAAACACCCTACCCGCTGTGCTATCGCTCCAGCCCCACCCTCCAAGCCCATTTTTGGTTGCCGCTGTTCCACAGTGGTGGGACAGGGTATGGAAACTCGGATTATTGTGTGGAAGTCATTTGTGTCCCCAGCCCCTTTCAGCAGCTGAAATGTCCCTTGCCTGCCCGAGCCCTCTGGGTGCAAGAGAACCTTAGAGTCTGGCAGCTAGCCCTGCAAGGCCCAGATGGCCCTTGGGGATCCCTGTGTCTGGGCAAAGTGGCAGGTGGGCTGTGCTGGCGAAGTGCTGTCTTAGAGGAAGGGCTTGACAATTCCAGCTGTGAGGAAGCCGGCTGGGGTGGGGGTGCTGAGTCAGACCTGGGTGAGGAGTTCTTCCTGCCACCCCCTCAGTCAGGTGACCCCGAAAACTCAGAGTCTCCCTTCTCTGCAAGAGTGGGAGACTCATGAGAGAGTCTGCTTGGAGGAGTGCCACAAGGCGGTGACATTCTTGGCTCGTCTCCCAATGGCTGGCATCATAATTGCACCTGTTGGCTTATGACCTTGTGCGGGTCCTTCCCCGACGTGCCTGCTATTCTGAGTGGGACCTGACTGTCCCCGCCCCACACCTTGAGAGGAGCTCAGCCCACATCTAGAATTACTCCTCAGCTCTCCCTCACCCCAAGTTTCCCAGATCCCTTCCACCTCCTGCAGTTCCTGAGTCCACCTTGCCGAAGCCACATGAGGTTCCTCTCCCCTCTGAACCCGGGTGACCCGGAGTGCATCCCTTCCCCTTGCATGGGGTCTCTTTGGGTATTTCTGACACTTCCCAGTGAAACCATCCACTCCCCATGAATGTCCAGTCCGGATGAGTGTCCAGTCCCTTTGAGATTATCGGGTCCCAAGGAGTGTCTAGTTCCCACAAAAATGTACAGTCCTGACAAGTGTCCATCCCCACGATAGCGTCCAGTCCACACGAGAGTGTCCAATCTGTGAGAGTAGGGATCAAGGCTACCCACAGTGCAATTGAGGCCACCTTTAGGATGCTCCCCTGCTTTGAGACTCAGTAGAAAAAGCCACTTCTGGAAACCCTCAGGTTCATACTGCTGCCATTTCTTATTTGCTGACTTGACCAGACCTGGCTGAGAAGGCCGGTCCTGCTGGCCAGGATGCTGACGTGCTCGCCTCTGCAACCACAGCGCCAGTAAACAGGGAGGCCACTCTGTGGCTCCTTTTTGTTCTTGGGCCACACCCAGCTCTGTGGTCTGAAGACCTTTAGGTGCTGGGGATCAAACTGGGGTCAGATGCCTGCAAAGCAAATACCTTAACCCCTGGACTATGGCTCTATCCCTCAACGTTTTTGTTTTAAATTAATGGCTAAACACACACTTAATTTGGGGACCACATCTGGCAGTGCTCAGGTTTTCCTCTAGGCTCTGTGCTCAGGGATCACTCCTGGCAGTGCTCGCGAGACCGTCAGCAGTGCCAGGTCATAATGATCAGGAATTAAATCCAGATCAGCCAAGTACAAGAAAATTGCTTTATCCTCTATATTAGTTATCTCATCCCACTGTTTTTGTTTGTTTGTTTTTCCTTTGAGCCACACCCAGTGATGCTCAGGACTTACTCCTGTCTCTGCACTCAGGGATCACTCTTGGGGGACCATGTGGGGTGTCATGGATTAGCCATGTGCAAGGCAAGTGCCCTACCTGCTGTACTATCTCTCTAGCCGCCGACTAGTATTTTTTTTAAGTTGGCCAAGTACCCTTGCTTTATAGACGAGGAAACTGGTCCAGAGAGGAGCCTGACTTGCCCAAGGTCATACAGCAAGTTAATGATTGAGAACTGAAAGCAGGCTTCTGAGTGTGGGGTCTGATCATCTGGGCCCCCGAGAGTGGAGTGGGTGAGGGTGTTGGATCATCGGCCCCATGAATCACTTTCTAAGCCACAAACTCACCCCTGAGTGTGTGGGCTTAATATTTCCATGTTTTTGCATTAGAAAACAAAAGCTTCCAGGGGCTGGAGAGAGAAAATGGTGGGTAAGGCACTTTCCTCACATGCAATTGACCCTGGTTCTATCCTTGGCATCTTGGTTGGTCTCCGGAGCTCCATCAGATCCCTGAGCACAGAGCCAGGAGAAAGTCCTGAACGCACTGGGTGTGGCCCAATCCCTTGTCCTCTGTTCCTCCTTAGCAGAGATGAGAGCATGCTACATGTAAGTAGAGGACAGGAAGTGAGAAATTTCGGGGAGGTCTCTTAATTGTTGGGCATGAACTAGGAGATTAAAGGGGAAATATGAGTGAGAAAAGAATAGAAATGTGTTGAATGTGGAAATATTTGAGAAAATCTTGAAGCTAAGGAGGAGTTTAGAGCTACTTAGACCAGTGGAAACACACACACACACACACACACACACACACACACACACACATTCATGAGACTCAGCTGGTTTGAAATCTTACCCCAAAGCCTGTGAAAGCCATGAGTATACCAGCATTTATTGGGCACTCAGCTATTTCCAAACACCTCATGGGATCCTCCCAACAATAAAGTAGGTCATTTTATTAGCCGGGCTTTACCGATGAGCACTGGGAGATGCAGAGAAGAAAGGTCCTGCCCGTGGTCGTGTAGCGAGTATGTGGCAGAGTCCACCCTTAGCCCCAACTCATGCGAAAATTGTCTCCTAACCACCCTGAGATAAGGCATCTTGAGCACTCTAGGCTGGAGCCAGAGGGCCTTCTGGAACATGATTTCCCAGAGTTGCAGGAGCCTCGCCATAACTTCGGGAATGTGATCTCGCTTACTGGATATCGGCAGTGTAACAGAGAGCTAGACCCAGGAGGAACTTCCACCTGTCTGGATTGGTCCAGCTGTGAGGCAGTGTCTGGGTGGGTGAGGGTGATGTGGACAAAGGAGATGCTCACCCAAGAAACGGAAGAAGGGGGCACAGGCATGCCCCCCACTGCCCATTAATTGTGAAAAGATGATCTCAGTTTGGTCTGTGGGACAGCATGGTGGAACATTCTTTTGTCTAAAACTCTGTGCCCGGGGCCGGAGTATAGTACAGCAGGTAGGGCATTTACCTTTCACATGGCCGACCCAGGTTCGATCCCCGGCATCCCATATGGTTCCCCAACACCCGCCAGGAGTAATTCCTGAGTGCAGAGCCAGGAGTAACCCCTGAGCATCGATGGGTGTGACCCAAAAGCCAAAAATAAAATAAAAGGGATCAAGGGGGGGGGGGGGTTGGCCATATCTTTAATTTCTGTTGAAAATACATCTCAATCCTCTCCTACCAAATGTATGGCATGACTTAGGAGTGTTGGAAAGGGGCCAGAGGGATCATTCGAAGGAGTGGAATACAGGAGTGAGGCTCAGGGTTAATTCCTGTTGCCATATGGGACTTTGCACCAGGCCGTTTTCACTCGGGGCGCCCCTGAGGGGGGCGGGTGAGAGCCCTCCCCGCCCCAAGGGACCCAGCCTCGGCAGCCTACCTCCACTACCCAACCACCTCCACGCTCCAGGCCGCTTTCCACATGCTCAGGTCGAGCCTCATAAATGAGTGAACATATTCCTGGACACATCATAAGACACTCCCTACCCATTTTCCATAATTATCATACCATATTTGATGGGATCCAGACAGTTGGCAACAAATCATAGAGGGAAATACACACACACACACACACACATACACACACACACACACACACGTCGAAGAGCCCCCAGGCAAGCTACCGAGAGTATCCTGCCCTCATGATAGAGCCTGGCAAGCTACCCGTGGCATATTTGATATGCCAAAAACAGTAACAATAATGGGTCTTATTCCCCTGACCCTGAAAGAACCTCCAATATGGCAGCGTTGAGAAAGACGAGTAAGGAGAGACTGCTAAAATCTCAGGGCTCGGGGCTGGAGCGATAGCACAGCAGGTAGGGCGTTTGCCTTGCACCCGGCAGACCCGGGTTTGATTCCCAGCATCCCATATGGTCCCCTGAGTACCACCAGGAGTAACTCCTGAGTGCAGAGCCAGGAGTAACCCCTGTGCATTGCCGGGTGTGACCCAAAATAAATAAATAAATAAATAAAATCTCAGGGCTAGGATGGAGACATTACTGGCGCCCGCTTGAGTAAATCTATGACCAATGGAATGGAAGTGATACAGTGATACCATATGGGTACCCACTCTTGTACTAGCACTACTGGGAGTGACCCTGGTGGCCTCAAGCTCTGCTGAATCCAAGCAGCATTTTATGGCCAGGCCCAAACATTGATCCACTGGATCAGTTTCCTTGCTTGCCATGTCTTTCACTTTTTTCTTTTCTTCTTCTTTCTTCTTTTTCTTTCTTTTTTCTCTTTCTTTCTCTTTCTTTCTTTCTTTCTTTCTTTCTCTCTCTTTCTTTCT